TGATGCGGATGATGATGATGATGATGATGATGATGATGATGATGATGATGATGATGATGATGATGATGATGATGATGATGATGATGATGATGATGATGATGATGATGATGCTGCTGCTGATGATGATGATGATGTTGATAATGGTGGTAAGGCTGATGATTTGGATGTTTATTATGATGGTGATGCTGCTGCTGCTGATGATGATGCTAGTGATGATCAGGATGGTGCTGATCCTGTTGGTGATGCTGCTGCTGCTGCTGCTGCTAATGATGCTGATGATGATTATGATGCTGATGATGCTGCTGATGCTGGTACTGATCATGATGATGCTGGTATTGATGATCATGATGCTGATGCTGATGATGATGATGATGATGATGCTGGCGATTATGATGCTGGGGATGATGATGCTGATGAATATGATGATCGTGATGATGGGCATGCTGATGATGATGCTGATGACGACGACCACGCAGATGATGATGGTGGTGATGACGAATGTTGAGCACTTTCGCTCCCTCTGTACTTTACTTGGCAGCCACGTGTTTCTTGCCTGAGCACGGATCCGTCTGCGACCGAGGGGAGGTCCAGATCCGTCGGGGGCAACTGACAAGCATCCCGAAAAGACTCCCGAGTGGCTCCCCAAGAAACCCATGCACTGCCCACAATCTTTCCTATTAGGGCCTGGGGAACGGGACTGTCACATGTTGCGGCCTTGTTAGCCTTGCAGATATTCCTCGTGTCTTGGTCCCTTCTTTCCTCTGCTTTGGGCCGCGCTTTGGGGGGCCTGGGGGGAGGGGTGGGTGCGTGGGGGGGGGGTCTGAAGGAGGTTACCTCGGACCGTTGCGCCTGCACTCGTAGTCTTTCTGCAACTTTTTCGCGAAGGGGGCGAACCACGCTTGGACCCAGCGATTGTCCTCGCGGGTCGCGGGCATGTTTCGGCACGCCCCATGCACGGACCATGGCCCACAGGGAGCCCCACCAGCAGCCCCAGTGGGCAAGTTTTGTGCGGCCCCCAGCATAGTTTCGGCTCCCGTCGCGTCTTATCCTTCCTCCCCATCTGCAGTTCTCGCCTCCCCCGTCCCTCTCAGCCCCAGCCTGCCGTCCACCCTCCTCGCATCACCCCGCCACGTTGCCCATCGCCTGGTATCGGGGAGGAGAGGATGAATCGAGAGAGGAGGGGGGGGGGGAGTTTCGGTACACCGCTCGCACGGATGCCAGGGGGCTTTGCCCGCGGCCTGGGAGGGAGTCCTCGCGTGCGGCTCCGAGCGAGTCTCGACGGTTGGTCCCCCACGGGGGGCCCCGAAGCGCGCCCTTGCGCGCCTTCTCCGCAGCTCCTTGGCCGCACTGCCCCGAGCTCCATCCCTCCCTCGGAGCGCACCGACGCCCATCATTCGCGCCCGCCTCCCTCCGTAGTCCTCCTCCGCCTCCCCCCCCTCATTCGCCTCCGCCTCGTCCTCGTCCTCGTCGCTGCCGTCGTCGTCACCCTCTCCGCCCTGGCCTCTCTTGCTGCTCCCTCTGGTCCCTCTGTTCCCGGGGACAGGGTCACGCCCAGCCTCCCTCGAATGCGTTCCCAAAGCACCCCGCCCTCTCCGTGCATGTCTTTGGTTTGCTCAGCTGGACTTTCTTGCAGTCGAAAGGATTTCGGCATCTCCAGCCGGTTCTCGGGCGACGGCGTGGGCCTCGTTTCAGGATCGGCGCGTTGCTCCCGCGCCTTTCGGAATTGCGCTTCCGCCCTGACGCAGGCCGCGTTTCTGGAGCCGAGTCCTTCCTTCTTGTTGTCGCCCCGCTCCTTTCTCATCCGCCGCCTTCACATTCCCCTGGTCATCCTGCTCCTCCTGCTCCTCCCAATCCTGCTCCTGCTCCTCTTGCTACTGTCCCTCCTCGTCCTTCTCCTTCCTCCTCCCCCTCCTCTTCCTCCTGCTCATCCTTCTGCCCATCTGCCACCGTGTTCTCCAGCATCCACAGCCCCCCTTTTCCGAATGTGACTAACACGATGGGATCCTTACTCCAGGTGGGATAATAATCGGGGGGAGGGGGAGCGACTAACCTTCCGACGGAGCGTCCACATCCTCCCCGACCACCCGTCAACGCGCTTCCAAAATTCTTCACGCTTCGCGTATCCCCACCAGCCCATCTCAAAACAGCAACTCTTGCGAAGCATGCCGACAGTCGTGTTTTTCAGGCGTGTTTCCGCCTGCCCCCGCATATCTCCCCTGCTCCTCCTTCCTCCCGCCTCCTTGTACATCCTCCTTGTGGTGGGAGCGGGAGAAGGACGAGGCGGAGGCGGAGGGAGAGAAAGCGCTCCTCGTGGTTTGAGTCGTTTGGATTTTCTCGTCCTGGTGTGAGTCGTTCGGGCCCTTCTTCCTGGTGTGAGTCGTTCGGGCTCTTCGTGGTGTGAGTCGTTCGGGCTCTTCGTCCTGGTGTGAGTCGTTCGGGCTTCTCGTGGTGTGAGTTGTTCGGGCCCTTCGTCCTGGTGTGAGTCGTTCGGGCCCTCCTC